TTTTAAATAGCTTTATCAAAATATTGCAATGCTTCTTCAAAGTTACCCATCTATTGTAATGCAGTTCCTTAAATTAGTATTTTTTTACCTTTAATACTTAATATGTTTGGATCCTCAGGATTTATCTAAATCGCATAATTGCAGATTTATAATGCTTCCTTATATTTATTCTGCTTGATTAAAATATTTGCTTACAAATATTATTACTTCTACCTTTAATACAATAAAAAGTTGGATCATCAGGCTTTTACTAAATTGCATAGTCATAGTATTATAACGCTTCATCAAATCTTCCCAGATCTTCTAATACATTTCCTTCATAATTCTTTAGATTTTATTACCCTTATTAAAAAAATAAAGTGCATTGTTTGGGTTATTACTAATTGCATAATCTAAAAATTTTAATGCTTCATCATATTTTCCAAAACGAACTAATACATTTGCTAAGTAAATCTATTTAAATTTTACCTTTATCATTTAATAAGTCTGAATCTTCAGGGTTATTCTAAATAGCTAAATCATAGGTTTGATTTGCTTCTTCAAATCTAAGCAGATTCATTAATGTTTTTGCTTCAAAATTATGTCCTATTTGTTACCTTTATTCGAGTAATAATTTGAATTCTCAGGATTTAAGGAAATGGCGCAATCTTCACATTCTAATGCTTCTTTCGTCACTCTTAAATTCAAACTGAATTTTTTCTATAAAAAATTTCATTTTTGTTAATTTTCACACAAATCTAGTTCTCCTTAATTTCTCTCGCTCTAAATATTTGAGCCAAATCTACCGAAAGTTCTTCTTAATAAAGGAATCATGTTCACAATCAATGTTAAGATACCTCCTTTTTCAGAAATGCGTGATGATTAAATTTAATTATGTTTGAATAGCCGAGCAAAGAAAGTTTGAAAAGTTCTTTTAGATAGCCTAAAGGCATTATTTTCGAATTTAGTATTGTAGAAAGGATTTGCAAATATTAAGAGTAATTTCTTGTGTTCAAAGATCAGTCTTTGATTGCTGAGACCGGGGAACCAAAAAAGTAAAATAAGTGAAAAGATTTTCTTTTTCATCTTCCCATCATTTAAGGATTACACCTCTAATAAAGAAAGTCAAGTAAAATGATGTAATATATTGCTTCTACTTAGCCTTTAACCTTACATCATTCTTTTAAAGAGCTTTGCATTTAAAATCAAAAATGAATAGTGCATAGGGTTTACTTCTAGATGTGTGGAATTTCTTAATGCCTTAAATAATTCATAAAGGATTACAAGTTATCATGCCTATCAACTTACTTTGCTATAGCATTTTTGGATGAATTAAAGAAAATCTTGAATTTGATGAAAAACTTTAGAACAGTAAATGAGGGAATGAGCACATTCTATTTATTCATAAGGAAGCGCTTGATGATCCTAAGAGACAAAATTAAGCCAATTAAGGAATATGTATAAAGTTCTACTTGGACGAAAATTAAGCCATCAAAAAAAATAGCCTTATAAATTCTTGAGGAAATCCTTGCAAAATGTCATTTGAAAATAATTATACCTTTGGAAATGAAATAATCTCTTCTCCAATGTTCTTAAAACTCTATGTTACAGCGTTAAGAAAAGATATGATTTTTGTCATTGAAAGTTGTGTATAGGATTATCGATCAGTTTTTTTTGAGCAGGAATTTGTTAAAGTAATCAATTCAAATTTTCAATCACAAGATCTTAACAAAGCTTTGAGGCTCTAGTATTTTTGGCTATTTCCAATAAGATTCATAATAAGGAATTTCTGTTTAGATTATTAGACTCTTAGTTACTGGATTAGATTTTTGGACAGACTTTCGAATTCTCAGATAATGAGGCTCTTGAATCGAATATGATTTTTAATTTCTTTATTTGGTATCAATCATTGGTTATGTTAAGTGTACATTTTTCATTATCACTTTATAAGAATGCTATAAAAAATTAGACAAGACAACAATCGAATTCTAAATTTCTTTGAAAAATGAAAAAAAAGTAATCCGAAAGTGCAATATCAAAATTAATTAAATTAGGATTGTTTAGTATATACAATCATTTGTTTTCTATTAAGGCATGATCAAGATACGAAGAACATACTCTTAAACATTACTTAATATTTTACATAAGCTATTTGATACTTAAGATGTTAACAATGAGCTAATTATATCTTTTTTGGCAGTACCTACGGTCATTACGAAGTAGGATTTTCTAGGCGAATTTCCAATCTACTACTAAATGATGAATTACAAGTTTCTAAAATATTGAGTAGAATATTAAATATCGTTTAAGCATAGTATTTTTCTGTAAACAAACTTATCATATTAGATTTTACACAGGTTTAATAAATGCAATCTAAATCTAATACAGAGGATCACTTAGAGTAATCGTTAAATATAAAATGCTATTATGGTTAATCGATATCAAGTATGTGGAATACTAGTATCTACTATGATTTCCTCAAAATTTATTGCTTCCTCCAATTTAAGTTATTAAGTGAAAGCCAACTCAATTAGTTGTGTTTATTTAAATTTAGGAACTATAATTTATGTACAATAATTTAATAAACTTTCCTCTGATGGGAATCCTCAATATGGCAATTAGACGAACATCAATCTCTCCTATAATTATTTCCATCATCTTATTCTTCATATTGATGGATAAATATTGATTTCCCATTAGCTAACACACACATTATCAATTAAGTGATGATTTTCTAATTAATAAGTTACCATCCTTTAACGCATTCTTTGAAATACTTATTTAACGTATTGTGCATTGTTCTTAACAATGAAGGCAACAATAAATACACCTATCATCATAATCATAATTTCCATCATCACATTATTAATTCCTGATACTAATAAGTCACCAAAAATAAGTTATTATAACTCTATATATTTGAATTAATATAATTTATTAACTAAGAAATTTCTTTGCCATTATGATTCATATGTGCTACAATTACATATCCACAAATACTATTACAACTATTTTTGGATTTATCTATGTAATAACCCATTGAACATTTTAA